GTATTTGCGTTATTTCATTGTCTTGTCCTTTTCAGTAGATAAATGCAACGTGACTTTTGCTCAACTTTTTGTGGAGATGTATGTTGCTGTTCTCTTAATCTTCACTGCTGTTAATATCACGAAAAATTTCAAATTGATACGCGGTACACATGTGATAATTTTACTTAAAATTAATTTTTTTATCACAAAAAACCTCAAATTGATACACCTGTAACAAATTTACTCTCAGTTTATTTTCGTTAAATTTTACTGTTAAATTGCTTTGTTGAATGACACGCGGCAGTTCATTGACGTATTAGGTTTTTGTTTTACTCTCCGTTTGTCACAAATGTACCAGTTTATGATTTTTTGTGGTATTAATCCAATTTAACGGAAACTAACAGAGGGTAAATTTGTCACAAATGTACCAGTTTGAGGTTTTTAATGGTCAAAATATTAATTTGGGGTAAATTTATCAAATATGTACCAGTTTGGGGATTTTTGGTGGTCAAAAAATTAGTTTGAGGTAAAATTGTCACAGGTGTACCAGCATCGGGGGTTTGGTGCCCAAGCATTGAGTTTCGGATCCAAGTACCGATACTTAGTCATATTTTGGAAAAAGTTTTTTTTTTCTGTTTTTCAAAATGAAAATCATTTTCTTAAATTTAAGCAAAGGTTTTCCGTTGACTAGGATTACATTTTCCGTTGATTCATTTTTTTAAGCAAACCAAATGCCGGAAAATGAAGAAAATGTTTTCCCGGAAAATATTTTCCGCGAAATTAATGGAGCCTAAGAGAAAATACTAAAGTTAGACAAGTCCATCTAGCGGTGGGAGATTTCCTCACAACCCCTGCACGTTCGGTGTCGCTCTTTGCTTCCACCACAGATAGATTTCATGAAGAATTCTCAATGAAGTCGTTGCGGAATTAAGCTTATCAGACTACAAAAGAAGAAGGCGCATAAAATATACCAGGTCACAATAACATCTTGGTATGTCCAAAAGGAATTATCCCGATTTGGTATCTCTTTTACCAACTTTGCCTACAAATGCCCAATCTCTTCTTAACAAACGATCCGGATCAGTGAAAAAATTGTCCTTGGCAATGGCATACCTGGCACTGATTGAGTTAGAGAAGTTGGTAATTGAACAATTTGTGAAGGATTACTTTCTAAGTTCGAGTCCACGTCCACATAAATATCTTATATCATAGGGAAGAAAAACTAGAGTTAATGCACAGAGCCTTTCTCTAACTTATGTTCGTTCAACTTAGGGGGCCACAAACATAAATAGTTTGTGGAGTCTTCCTGGGCTATGTCTAACTTTCAAGGGAAACCGTTGCCTCGCTGTTCGAGCTTTCTTGGAATGCTTTTTTTTTTTTTTTTATGTTGTATATGGATGACTCGAAACAAGTGCTTGCATAATGCTCCATTTGTTGTAAATCTTGATGCCAAATTTGATGATAATTAGGAGTGCAATTAGAGGAAGACTTCTTGATTTTTCTGAGATTAGGAAGCTATCTTGGATAAATAGATTCAGAGCCTTTCTCTTCAATTGCGTTCTTAGTGGTTAATGTGTGATTTTTTGAGCATGTAGCCGGGTTTTCTCTCATGCTTTTTAACCTCTGAAATATATACTGACTTATCGGAAAAAAAATAGAAAGGAAATGAAAACGTAAGACAAAAATTGTTTAATCCGGTCGAATCCCCTTGACAAATGTTAGCAAATCATTTTTTCCATATCAATTGGGCATATAAACTAGAAAGGGAACGGCGACGTTGTATAGAATTAATAAGGTATAGTAATAAGATTTCCATCGGATATATTGGTAGGGAGAGATTTAATGTAATATATGCATCTTTTAATGTGTTCAGAATTTTTAAAAATATAAATCTCTAAAATCTAAATGAATAAAGTTCCTGTAAAAATATTTCCTTCTCCTCTATTAGTATCAAAATCCAAATTTTATGAGGCAAAATCCTTCGTCATTATGTTTTCTCAAGATATACATTATCTATAGTCCAAGACAGTGTTATCCAATGCAAAGATGATTCACTTAATATCTGAAATTTCTCATTTCATTCGAGGATGAAAATAGTTCACAAAATAAATTCGACGATGATTTATCGTGAATATAATGGAAAATGTTTTGGAATTAAAATTATAAACACTACAAAAAAACATGTTTTTTGCGACGGATTTTGCGATGAAAAAATCGCAAAAATCCGTCGCAAATCATTTTTGCGACAAATTTAGCGATGGAAAAAATTCCGTCGCTACTAGGTCGTCACAAATTTTTGCGACGGAAAAAAAATTCGTCGCAAATTAGCCACGAACACTATCCGTCGCAAAGTTCGTCGCAAAATTCGTCGTAAATAATTCGTAGCAAAATTAGTCGCAAAATTCGTCGCAAAATCCGTCGCAAATATCGACGCAAATTTCGTCACAAATTTAGTCGCAAATTTCGTCACAAATTTAGTCGCAAAATTCGTCGTAAATTTTGTCGCTAATTATTCATCGCAAAATTCGTCGCTAATTTGCCGCGAACTATATTCGTCGCAAAATTCGTCGCTAATTTGCCAAAAAAAAATTTTTGGTCAGTAATTTGCAGCGAACTTATTCATGGCAAAATTTGTCGCTAATTTGCCACCAAATTTTTTTACATTTGCCATCAACATTATTTATGATCGAATTTAGCGACGATTTTTTATTAATTCTTTAGCGACGAACTCTGCGACGATTATCGTTTAGGGACAAAATTAGCGACGAAATTTTATTTTTGCAACGAACTTTTGTAATTTGTGATCGTACGATAAAATAATTTATTTTATTTTTTGATTTTAAACCTAATTAAAAGCAAAATTAATTTTTGGAATTTATATTTAACATTGATTAAGTAATTAATAACATCAAAATATTATAATAATATGAAAATGAAATACATTCATCTACATTTTCCACAAGAATTGACATAAATATTTTTTTTATAGTACACATAATGAGAGAATAAATAATCTTGCACAATAATCTTTCACAATAAATAATGACGATAGATTTGAATCAAAAAAGAATATCCTGCTTTTAGCGACAATCCCCATCATATAAAATACTAAACAAAACTAAAGACACGGTCCATGTGAGATGCTCACTTCCTGCTCCAGTTTTAACAAATGCCGGTTGAAATGTTGTTGCAACCTCTCATTTGCATAACTTATGCAGAATTGCTCAAAGCTATTCTTCTACAAAACACAAATTGTCTGGAATTAGACACAAAATTAGTGACATTGTGTCCACATTAAATGTTAATATATTCAGCTTCTAAAGGATACATAATGATTGTGAAGCAAGCAATCTTAATTAAGTAAAGCAACGAAGGTAAATGAAATATAGAGGAAAAATGTTGAAGTTCACTTTCAGTGATAAATCTAATAGAAGTAAAGAAACAAAGGTGCAACGTAGGTGTTCCCAATTGGTTCACTGTCCACAACTGCACACTTCCACCACAAAAAAAACATTTATGTAAGTGACATGAACAAAATAAAGAATGATATTGGATGCTATTTATCTTTTAGCTACCACAAAATACCTGACAACACTGCACACTTCCACCACAAACAGCATAATGAAGTGGAGTGCTTCCAGCACCCGCAACGTGCAAAGAACAATACACATGACTTTCCACAAATGCATGATTCTAAGCAGGTATCACTGCATTCAAATAATCAATCATTTTGAATGAAGCCATAATTCTCCCACAGGGTATTTTCTAAAAAAGCAAATAACACCTGGTGCAACCCCCAAGACCAGAAGACAAAAGAGGGGTTTTGGACTCTTGATTGCCCCATTCATTCCCATCCTCAAAAACCCAAGCCCCACGACTAAAAGCAAGGAGAGGAAAAAGATGGAACCAATCACATCAGCTTTGACCCAGCTAAGCTATGTAGCCCAATACAATATGCCAATATAGGCATACCAAATCACATTTGCTTCTTAGAATCTATTGCCTCTTTTCCTTTGCATTGCAAGAATACGAGTAAAATATATTCAGATGCTATGAGCTATAGTAGAGCCGAAAGGAGAACAGTCAAAAGAGAGAAAAAACAGAGACAACAAAACCAAACCAGCTTAAAGCAAACATGAGAAAACCAGGAGTAGCAATATTATCGAAGACTCCGACGGAGACAATGCAATGGGCTCAAACAAAGCCACGAGATCCTCCATTTTCGCGAATATCAAAACAACCAACAAAATCAGCCCTGAATCAGATCAAACAACAAAATCAAGCTAAAGCAACAAAAGCCAAGAACAAATCAGCCCCCAATGTACACGTGCACGGCATATAGTTGTAAATATCACTTTCTTGCGGTTCCTCTTCCAACAGAACAAATCATCAGGTAAGAGGAGTGCTACCACAAACAATCAGTTTCATTTAAAAGCAACAAACAAAAAATCAGCAAGAGAACTCATTGTCCTACTTTTACAGCCATGATATAGAAGTGCCAATGAACCGATATGTTGCTACTCTATTTGTTCCCTTTTTTTTTATGGGCAACTATTTAGCTGCCGAAAATTTTTTCCTCACCTTGAGCATTTGAACATCTTCTTGAAAAGTAAGCCACAAGGTCTTTCTCAAGTACTGCAATTAAAAGTTACTGCCCATGAGTTGCACTATTTATGTAATCAGATTGCAAAAAAGAAAAAAAAAAGATCATAGTATAACCTTTAAAGGTTCAAAGGGGTATTGTCTTCCAATAGCTTCAAGTTCTTTCTTGCAACTCGCATTCAATGAGTCGAACATTGTAACGAACAACTTGTCCACAATGTCCATTACCTGCACATAAACGTTTAGTTCGTTAAGCTAAACTGAAAATTCAGTTAAATGAAAAAGTATCCAATCCAACCTCACAATAGTGCTTCTTAATCTCCATTTCAACATCAAGGCCAGTAAATTCACACAAATGCCTATGTGTGAAGGAGTTTTCTGCCCTAAAAACAGGGCCAATCTCAAAAACACACCCAAAGTCACCCATTCCACGACACAACACTTCTCTGAGGCATTTTATCGAACAGCTCCCGAGCAGCTTTAAGATCCCCCATTCTAACATACCCATCGACCATCACATTCCACAAAACCACGTCCCCCTCTTGCCTCCTGAGATTCATCTTCTTCCCCACTCCACCACTCCGAACAATTCTCTCATCAAACAAAACGTAAGCATCTTCCATGACACCGCAGAGCACATACATTCTGACAAGGTTACTAAGAACAAACTCGTCACCATCCAGACCACACTTAGCAACCATCCCATGAACCTGCCTCCCTTCCTTCACCATCCCCAACCTCGCACAAGCCTTCAACACCGGAGGGAATGTGAACCCGTTGGGCTCCACGTGGCCACCCCGGACCATCTCGCGGAACAGAGCCAGAGCTTCCAACTTTGTGGTGTCGTCGTCGCTCTCGGCAAGAGCCATAATGATGGAGTTCCAAGAAAAGCAATTGGGTCGGCGCATCTGGTGGAAGACCGCGCGCGCGTACCGGAGGCCGAGAGCACGTCGTCGATGTTGATCCTCTGCTTCCGATCCGTCGCCGCCGACCACCACCTCCTTGCCCTCGACGGGGGAGGAGCCGCCGCCCCTTTGGGCTCCGCGGCCTCTAGGGCTCCGGAGGCCATGGCCGAGGAGTCGCGAGAGGTTTGGGGGTGTGGGGGAGAGGGAAGAAGCAGAAGCGAGAAATTGGCGGTGAGGGCGGGGCTTTGGGGCGCTCTTTTTTTAATTAAATTTGCGACGAATTTTATATTTCGTCGCAAATTTTAGCGACGAACATATTTTGTTTCCGTCGTAAATTTGCGACGAATTTTTTTTTCCGTCGTAAATTTACGACGGATTCTTTTTCCGTCGCAAATTTTGCGACGGATTTTGTTTCCGTCACAAAATTTGCGACAGATTTTGTTTTCGTCGCAAATTTGCGGCGGATTCTTTTTCCGTCGCAAAAATTTGCGACGGACTTTGTTTCCGTCGCAAAAATTTGCGACGGATTTTGTTTCCGTCGCAAATTTTTGGAAAATGCAATACAATTTTTGGAATCCGTCGCAAATTTGCGACGGAAAATAGATACGTCGCAAATTTGAGACGGATTTTGCGACGGAAAATAGATCCGTCGCAAATTTCCAACGGATTTTTTTTTACGAATTTTTATTTCGTGGCAAATTCCGTCGCAAATTTCGTCGCAAATTAGGGACGAAAAATTCCCGTCGTAAATTTCCGTGGCAAAATCTATGTTTTTTTGTAGTGAAACAATAAAATATTCTCGTTGCTTTCAATGTTTCCAAATTTAAGGAGGAATATTGCTAATGATTAGAGTTTGAGTTGGGTTAGGTTAGGTATGGGTTTAATTTGGATCCAATCAAGTATGGATCTTCAACATAAAAATGAGTTAAATGAGTCTATTTTGGTTAGATCCATTACGACCACCCAAATGCAACCTGACTCATTGCTTTAATTGGTCCATTCAAAAAGTCTCACGGAAAGCAAAAAAATAAAATAAAAATGAGATAAGTGCATTAAAAGTCTTAAAACTTGTCACAAAAGTGCAATTGAATCTTAAAACTTTCAAAAAGTGTAAGTAAGTCCTAAAACTAATCACAAAAGTGTAATTGAGTAATAAATTTTTCAAAAAGTGTAATCAAGTCCTAAAACTTGTCAAATTGGTTCAATTAAGTCATTTCATTGATTACACTTTTTTAAAGTTTTATGATTTAATTGAACTTTTATGACAAGTTTTAGGACTTGATTGCACTTTTTAAAATTTTTAGGATTCGATTGCACTTTCTTGATAAGTTTTGAGACCTGATTGTACTTTTTGAAAGTTTTTTTACTCAATTGTACTTTCGTGATAAGTTTTAGGACTTTTAGTACATTATCCTCAAAAAAATTATGTGACTTTTACTTTTCGAGAAAAGCATAAGCATTGATGTCCAACGACACTATTTGTATTTACCAAGCTCATGGGCCGAGATATTCCATGTATCATGTGTAAATAACAAGACAAACATAAATAATTCCCATCTAGACAAAACAATATAAACATGTGCATCCTCCCTGATTCTATTCTTAACCAATAGATGAATCCTTATAATATCAAATGGGGATAAACCAAAATTATGTTGGGTACGCATTTAGAAATCTATTTCATAATTCATTTTCAGAGGACACGATGAGTTAAATACGCATAAAATCAGAACAATTACTTAGCTGCTGTAAAGATTATTGAAAAGTTAAGATCAACATGTAAATGATAAAATGCCATCCATAAAATAATACCGGAATGAAATACATCAGAATTGGGTTGAGGATGATACAGATACATTTAATTAACAATTTTCGCAATTTCCCATGCTTATTGTGAACAGAAACCACCAGCCACGGCGGCTCGACAAGTAACAAATATTGAAGTCAACATAACAACCACATGAGGCATGAGACAGAGACCGTACGAGAACCACATGCTATGTTATAACAGATACATTAGTGAATAAATAAATATAAAAACAAGCAAGGTTCAAGGCATTATTCGGCAAGTGGTCGAAAACCCGAGCTTCGTTATAAGAGGCCCTTCTAAGCCGATTGACATCACAGCTTCTACTTTCTAGGAAAGTCAAAAGTCTATTGCATTCTCCGTTTACTTGGTTGTTGAAAGACTGTAACCGGGAGGGCAACCCAATGGCGACGCAACCAAGCGAACAACATGGGAACTCTAATCCTGCTGAACCACCAGAAGATGTTCAAGTTCCATCGAGAAAAATTACGGTACAAGTGATTTGGTCTTAAAATGTTCTGGAATTTGTATATTCTCATGGTTCTTTTTCTTTGCTTTATCATCGAACATAGCCGTGACCATGGCTAGGAAACAGAGAGAAATAATCAGTATGAGGACTTTGTGCTAACTCTTTCTTCTACGTTTGTCAAAGATGTTCATATAACCGTTGGATCAGCTCCTTCTCAATCCAGAGGTGCCCCAGGTGCGGTATCGCTCAAAAGAGTTATTTCATTGTGAAATTAGTACGTGGGGCGGATCTTGATGACATTGTTCTTTTCTGGGACACTTCTCAATGTCTGCAAGGAAAAAGTACTAACAAAATGGACTGAAAAGTTTGCATCCATTGCAGAAATATCGGAAAACATAGAGGATGGACCCTGTAACCCACCATTGTTGCAAGCTGCATTCAGGGGCGATTGCCAGTCTTCTAAAAGATTTTTCGAACAAGATTCTGCTTCAAACAGAACCCTGACCTTGTATTTTCCAACCGAGAAAAAAGATGGTATAAGCACTTTGGTCTTTAAATATGCTGAACTTGTATTTTCTTAAGGTTCTTTTTTCTTTGCATTATCATTGAACAAACATAACCCTGACCTCCTTACCCAAAAAAAAAAAAACATAACCCTGACCTTGGCTTGGAAAAAGAGGAAAAAAAATTCATTATGAGAAGGGCTTTGTGCTCACTCTTTCTTCTACAGTTATTGAAGATCCTCCTGAAAGCGTTGGATCACCAGGTGCATTATCCCCTGAAAGAGTTATTTAATTGTGAAATTAATATTTGGGGCGGATCTTGATGAGATTGTTCTTTTCTGGGACACTACTCGATGTTTGCAAGGAAAAAGTATTAACTTTTTTTTTTTGGTCGAAAAAAAAAAAGTATTAACTTAATGGCCTGAAAAGTTCGCATCCATCGCAGGAATACAAGTGGATGAACCCTATTACCGACCATTGTTGCAAGCTGCATTCAGGGGCGATTGGGAATCTGCTAAAAGATTTTTCGAACAAGATCCTGCTTCAAAGAAGGCCAAAATAACAAGCAGATCAGAAACAGTGCTTCATATAGCCGCTTTGAGTGCACAAGACCAATTTGTTGAGAACCTGGTTGAGCTCTTGTCTCCATATCCGGAAGAGCTTGAAATGGTTGATTCTGATGGCCGCACAGCCCTCCACATTGCTGTCCTGTGTGGAAGGGTAAGGATGGTCAAGGCATTAGTTAAAAGTAATGATAAGTTGACGCAACTTACAGATAACAAAGGACGTGTTCCTTTGCAAATATCTGCTCTGGAAGCTTCTATGCATAAGGAGATTGCCTGGTTCCTGGCTGAAAATACAAAAAACGATAGGCCAAGTTATCCCTTCAGCCGTCCCTCTGCGATTGACACCATTTTATATCTCACCTACGCTGGTCATCATGGTAAGATCACCATCGTTCTTTATCTCAATTCCATCAGTTTTTTCCTTCATTCTAGACCTAGCTTATTTTCTTGATCAACATTGCTGGTGAATTCGGACAGATATCACCCTTTATTTAGTCGGCAAGTACCCCTACTTAATTACCATGAAAAGCATAGAAGATGATGGACGCTATTCTATACTGGACGCGTTGACGAGGAGGCAGTCTGACTTTCCCAGCGGAACTAGGCTGAGTGTTTTGGAATTATTGATATACAAATGTCCGTACTTTCTCCACTCTCGTCCCTTTAGTACCGATTCCCTTCGGATGACCATACCTGGCTCATCTCCTGCTCTTTTGTTTTTGGACTGAAGGTATTCCGGTGGACTTGAACTACAAACCAACAGATAAAAATTCTGATCCGGGTGGGTATGCATTTTTGCTGTCTGGCATTATCTTAGGACCTTTCATGATTTTGAACTTTAACTCAATTTTCTTAGATTGATTCCCTCCGTGCTAGCAAAAGAAACCGGAAATGATTGTTTATTTGTAGGATATACTCTGGTTCCTTGAACTAGTTTTACTTGAATAATGGCATGAAATCAAACTACTTTATGGATCAGCTATACCTTGGGAACTACATATGATTCAACCAAGTGCATAAGTATCTTGTAGCTTTAATTGACTGAACAATGTAAGGAACAAATTACGAGGTCCTGCAATAATTTCATATTCAGTGACTGGATTTCTTTGTAACTTGATTGTAGCACTTCAATGTCTTACAAGGTCACTTTGGAATGCCATCAAAATCATAGGTACGCTTCCATGTTATCAGGATACCGTCTCTATCTCTGTCCCTCTCTCTCCAACTATAAGGTAGCGAATGATAATCATTCTGTTCCAGAATGAGTTCCTGAAACAGAAATAGATTTTTCTATTTCTGGTTCCAGGATGAGTTTCTCAAAAAAGAAACCCGTTTAATAATGATAAAAAATTTCTATTTCTGGAACAGAAATCCGTTTGATAACAGCACAAAATTTTTATTTCCTGAAACAAAAACCCGTTTGATAAACAACACAAAATTCTATTTCCAGGAACAAAAATCTATTTTTTTAGAAATGGAATAAAAATAATTAGAAAATCCAAAAAATTCCTAAAAATCTCAAAAAAATTCAAAAAATCCAAAAAAAATTGAAAAATTCTAGAAAAATTCATCACAATTTCCAAAAAATAAAAAAAAATTCAGATTTCAGGAAAATAGGA